TAGCAATATTGCTGTTTCAAAAGGACAGAGCAAAATCAGTGGCTTTTACAGCGTGTGAACTCGAATTGAATTTCCAGTTAATCCTTGAACCCTAAACACAATGGATAGGAGCGGCTGTAGTGTGTTTGCTGACATTTCGCAGCTGCGTGCCTGATTTGTCTATCTCTTTATTGGACACCCAAGATTTATTTTGCATTAAGAGATCAAAATCAACCCATTGTGAATGTTTGTTTTGCAGTTGGAAACGTGCCTGACCTGCGCTGGACCTGCTACCAAAACGCCGTTTGTTCTTTGTGCTGCTTTATCAGCCTAAAGGCCCTCGGGAGCCCTTTGGTTGATTTGCAAGCACATTTTCAGAAAACGGGAAACAAATTAAAGTTTCAATTCTTTATTTAAAGCCAGTAAAAAATGCATTTGTAAGTCTGTTCTCGTACATTTTTAATATAACACTTAACATTTTTGACTGTAGTGCTTTTGATTGCCAAACAGGTCTCTTTGGGAAACACTGACAACCATGTATTTTTAATTTTTTTTTCTGGTTTTTACTTCTCATACCTCACCCCCTGTGACTTGAATATTTGAACCGTAGCTTCTGTTAAAAAACACACTTCAGGTTTGCCACCTTGAAACTTCAGCGGACAGACTGTGTATAATGTATATTTTTCTCTAAAGGTAAATATTTTATCATTAGTATTAAAGTTTGTTTCAGTATCTACTTTACAAAATGAGTGTTTTCCTCTAGATCACTTGCTTGAATAGTTCATATTTTGTTACTTCAGTGGTAGATGCCAAGATGAAAAGCAAATTTTCCACATTGCATTGTGTTATCCAAAATCAATTATTGAGTACTATTAGAAAGATTATGTAATCAAGATTAGCTGTCTCTAAACCAGGGGCTGAAGGCCACTTACTGAGTTTAGGCAAGCCATCGAGGGCCGCATGACAGGCAGCCAGGGGCAGATCAATATTACTTTTCTAAATTTCTTTAGTGCCCCCGTGGGCCAGACAGACTGGCCTGGCGGGCCGCATTTTGCCCACCCCTGCTCTAAACCCCGGTAGGTATAGCTGTGATTTTTTTCTTAAGAGATCCCTGTGGCTCAAACTTATTCTTCTGATTTAAAATGGCTGGTGAAGAGACCTAGCATCTGATGAAGCGAGCTCTTGCTCATGAAAGCTTATGCATCTCTGATGCAGCGAGTCTATAAAGTGCATCTCTGTCCTGCCTGTTGCATGGTTTGGGACCATTTACTAATGTCATGCTAATCTCTAATATGGATTCACCCCTCTCCCCCCACACCAAGTTAAATAATCAAATTAGCATTTGAAAATCAGACTTCAAAATACCAGGTGGCAGTTTTCCAAGGGTTTTGTTCGCATTGTTGTTTTTATATGTGTAAAGGCATAGGTGGCATTTTCCTTAAATAAGATCAGCCTTTCTTGGTTTTTTTTAAGAAGGCATGAAACAGTATGTTCAGTTTAATCTAAGGATGCATCAATTATTGTAATATAAAGGAAAGGTCTGTAACATTTACAAATTAGTGATTTAGTGTTTGATCATATTGGTATTGAAAGCCATCTTGTATGCGGTTCTCCGATAAAGAAAATACGGACTATTTTCATTTTGAAGAATTCAAAGGTAAACGTTACCTTTATGCAAATAGAACTAAGCGGGGAAATGTGTAACCTATTAAAATAAATGATGTAAATATATCATTAGGGGAAAGCAAGATGCATTCTGTTCCTTTTTCATTAAACGTTCCCTGTACCATCCAGGACTTCAGAAATGATTTATAAAAGTCTAAACATCTGATTCTCCCTCATTATATTTCAAGCTGAACTTTAAAACAGGAGATTAAAAAGACAGCAACCAAAGGGCAAGGCAATACAGATCAAATTGGGGGTGGTTTATTATGTTTAGCTTCATTTACATCCAGGTTGACCTTAGAACCCGAGATGTAGCAACCAGCACACGCAACGTTATCACTTATCTCTTGTGGTGACTGCAGAAGAGATCAAAATCATTTTGCAAACAAGATAGCAGTTGGACTGCAGCCAGCGATCCCTTTGAAGAGAAAATAATCCTAAATCTATCAGTCCTCAAGTAAATTATGGCAGTGCTATAGCACCGCTTCTTACTAATGTGAAGAGACCGACACCGCTTTAACCTAGAGGAAGTGTGCTTTGGTGCCCAGACCCTGAGTGATGGGGGATTACAGGAGGCATGGGTGTGCTGCTTAGCTCTGCCACTGATCTGTTCTGTGACCTTGGGCAAGTCACTTCACCTTTCTGTCCCTCTGTTTGCCCTTCCTGCTGTATCTATTTAGACGATACACTCGCTGCCCCACCTCAGGAGTTTTGCTCTGAAAACCAGGCTCTCGGTGTGGTTTGGCAAATCTAGGTACTATTGCAACGCTATGAAGCAGAAGCAGGTCCTGTCATAGGTGAGGGTTTGGGGTACCAATGATCCTACGCTGAAGGGGTGCTCCTGGGGTGAGGGTGCATGGAAGGGGCTGGCCTGGATAGTCTTATGGATGCTGCTGGGCCAACATTTCGTATACCGTTGCCTGCAGTTGTGTGGGGCTGGACTCTGACTTGGGAGGTCCTTTCCCGACCTCTGTCCCTGCGATGGATGAGCACGTAGAGCAGCACTGGCCTGCGCAGCACTGCGATCTTAGAAAAGATCCTTTGACCAGCGGTGGCCAACTTGCAGCCCGTTGAAATTGCTGGACTCCATCCAGGTGCTGGCAGTGGCATGCATGGAGCTTGCTAGAACGAGGACCCCAACCACATGAGCCTCTTCTAGTGCACAATTGCTACCTAACGACAGCAGGGGCGACGGTTTTGGCAGGCGTGCCGCTAATTAAGCTCCGCACCCTCCTTGAGTGCCGCTCTAATTGCCTTTTCCCGCCTGGTCTGCTTTCTGGTCCCTGCCCCTTCGCTGACCTGCTGTGCGTGCTGCAGGATGACCACCTCTGCCTTAGGGATTACCCAGAATTTAAAAATTAATCTGAGCACAGGTGAAGTGCTCTCTGCTTGCAATGCCACGAGAGGGCAGGAGTGGTCTACTTGCAAGCCAAAGAAGCAGGATTTTCCCGGTGGTTTTTTCAATCTCAGCAGCTGCAGAGCTGAATGCTTCTCTTGTCTGGGTATTTATGCCTTCCACATCGTTGTGGCATCTGAGTGCAAACTGCCTTTTCTTCTTCTGTGCGAGGATGAACCTACAGGACTGCCTGTTGCTTATTTCAATCATGTGTGCTGGAAACCAAAAACGCATCATAAATCCAAGGGAACCAGAACTGAACCCGCTTTTTACTGGCTTGCTGCAAGAAGAAACAAGGTCCCAAGGAATGCATGGCACTGAGGAGCACGTGAAGACGGGTTTTCAGTTCATGGCCAATCTATACCAGCATTGTTCTTGGGCTTTGTGCCACTCGCAGAGTAAGATAAAAACATGGGCAACTGAAGTTCATTCAGTTTAACCATTAACTCTGCCAAGCAGTACCTATTTCCTTTAGATTATTATATCTCACAGCAAAGTTTGGGGGGGCAATTCTTCTTTTTATTTTCAAAACCCATCTGCATTATGAGGTTGGAGGTGTAGCACTGCTGCTCACCTTGCTCACCAGTAGACTTGGCGCTCAGCTGCAGGATGCTGCTGGTGTCACTAGGACATGTATGACGTGGTCTGCAGCTTCCCCCCCCCAATTTTGACCTAGTTTATAAGAGGACTCCTTCCAGGAACACATCACTGTACGCACGTTCGGTGCAGTCGTTCACACTGGTGGCCTCTCACTGAGCAGGAGTATTTCTTTCTCTGCTTCCCTATTCCTTTGCAGATGATGGACCATCCTTTCTCCTCCTCTTTCTCTCTCATCTGGAAGAGCACGTCACCCTTTCTTCACCTGAGTCCCAAACCATGTCAGACTCTTGTCTCAAGATCCATCTTTTTTGGCCTATTGCCTCATCCAGCTCTCTTCTAAGAAAGACCCTCCCTAAATCAGCAAAAGTGGAACATGTGTGCGGTCTGGAGTTGAGAGAGGGAAGTAATGAAAACCAGTGGGAAACGGGAGATATTTGCCCCTGCACAGCTGTCCAAAGCGGGGCACTCTGGAAAACAGCACAGCATCCCCTTCAAAGAGAGATCATCCTTTAAAAAGCAACACACTCGGTACTTTTAAAGGCATGCATTATTTTCAAATGTGCTTCTGTTTGTCGATTCCCTTGAAGAAAACTGCTTCTGTGCAATCCTATATTGTCTTCAGCAGCCCAGGAGACACTGGGGATACAATAAAACATAGAGCACCTTAGGTTTAAATTTCCTTCAAGTTATTTTCATGTGCTTGTAGTCCTTGCCTGGGTAAGGATGCACAGCAGTGCAGGAAACTTTACGTGTTAACCATACCATGGCATGGAGGCGGCCGTGTCACCCCCCCCCCCCTTTGGCGTAAAGTTGTGCAAGAGAGCACGTGTGAACACGAGGAACACGTGTCCCAAATGCTGACTGTGGGGGCTGAGCTTCACCTGCTGCGGATTGACTGAATTCCCCTGCAGCTTCAGGCTCCCCCTTTTATTGGGGTTGCAGATGGTGGCATGGACTCCCCTTTTATTTAGATGATTATTTATTTGGATTTTGCGGGACCCTGCTATTATTTGGGTTGCAGACAGTGACCATTTTTATGCTGGTGGAGGCATCAGTTTAATTTTCTTTAAGCAGCATCAACTTCTTGCAGCTGTTGCAGCTGCAGCTCCCCCCTCTCCCCACCCTTGTATCGGCGGTGGATTGGTCGCCTCTGCGCTCGATTGATGGGGCAGCATCGGCGGTGGATTGGTCGCCCCTGCGGGGCAGCATGACAGTGGATTGGTCGTCCCTGCGCTCGATTGATCGTCGGTGGATTGGGTGGAGGCGCTCGGCGCTCGGCCGCGCGGGCTGGCGGCGCACGCACGTGGGCCG